ATATATATAATTATTATAATTAAAGAGTTTATTAGATCACGTCCTTGATACTCCTTTTCGTGCAACCATATCAAATATACGTTTTAAGTGAGCATTTTAACTCAGGTCAAATCGATATTTAGATATGTATGAGCGAAATATAACGGTATTGTTTAACATTTTACATACATAAGCACATATTTTAGTCCGTACTATCTAGGCATGCAAAAGGTCAAGGAATTTAAACTGATATATATATATATATATATATATATAAAATTTTCTCAATATTTTGCGTAGCCAATGTGAATTTGAATTATTTTTCAATTTATTTTTAATCTACTTTATCTTATCATATATGTTCGTTCACTTTTTTTGCTTTCCTCCATTAAACCATTGCTGAGTAATTCTGTCATGTTGTCGGTTAACGCTAAACTAAAAGTAAAAGAAAAAAAAAACAAAAAAAAAAAAAACTGATCAAAAGCCCCTTACATTTTTTATTGAATTTGTTGAAAAGTCCCGGAACTTTTTATTAAATGACGTCATTAATCAAATATATTCTGACCTCTAATGAATTTTTATTGATTCCCGACGCTGACAACACACAGATATTGTTTGTACACAAAAAATTCATATAATTTTTAAATAAATGCCAACTTTCCAATAACGCCAACGCCCATCAAGGATTTCCTATTATTTTTATCATTGCAATGATTTTACAAAACAATTAGAAAATTCGTATTTCATGCGTTAATTAAAAACATTGCTGGTCGATGGAAAAGATTATACGAACACCAATGTGATATTGAACCCATTGAGAGCTCAGAAGAATAGGACGTCTGCTTACGAACGAATGAAAACGAACGCCGACTCACAAAACGATGGCTACAAATGGCAAAATTTGGCCAAATTAAAATTTTGAATTACTATCCCACTGCAGCCTATCACACATGAATGGCTTTTTTCATTTATATTACCGACAGCTCGAAACCATTTCATTAGAAAAATCATACGAAAGCAGTTAATGAATTTTTCAAATAAAAGTCATACATACTTACATGTAGATTGTTGTTTTCTTTAATTGATTATAAGTGTTCTAATTATGTGTTTAAGATGAGCCGCATCGTCCGCATAATAAATATTAACATAATAAAAATTCCATTATTTGTCATGTGTATTATACGGGATGTCAACATCTATTTTCTTCGCTTCCAAATAACCGACTTTTGCCAGTGTTTTTCCCAATCCTCGAAGCACTGCTGATATGCGCTTCTTGATAAGGCCTTGAGCAATGCGGTCTTGTTTTTATCACCTCAATCATGGCAAAACTTCGTCCTTTCATGAGTCTTTTCAGCGGGTGGGAGGCCAAGTCCAGAATATAAAGGCATATGATATAAGCGTCGTAAGCGCTTTGGCAAGAAAATATATCGTTTTCTCTTATGACTAGTGACCGGTCACACCGCTAGAATACGCCTATAAATCGCCCATGCAAATTTATATCTAGCCATCATAAACGTTCCAGGAATATATCTATATATATATATATATATATATATATATA